CGATGGGGAAGTTGATGGTGGGAGGTGGTAAATTGTTGCGAAAAGCGAAAGTTGGGGTTTGCGTTCCACATCCGAGGCTATGGATCTAGAGACGACATTCGCCCCCTAGCGGTCACTGAACTGAAGCCACAAACCACGACGCACTGGGGCACCGTGTGGAATGAGGTAACACTCAGAAGTGACGCTCATAATACAGGGGCCCCTCTACTGACTTATACTCGACTTACGAACTTTCAGAGATACGAACAAACCCTGTCCGTATGTCCAGTTGCCTGTTCGGACCGAGAGTCGTAAGTTCAACCGCCGCGCAATAGATGGCGGTGGTGGCACCTACTTCTGCAAAAAGTGAAAAAAAACAGTGGAATCTACATCTACAGGGGATGATACAACTTGTGAAGCCATTCCCCGTGTTTAGTGTACGTGCCGTAACAACATGTTTGGAATCGACAGGAGTAAAATTGGATTACGAACAAATCGACTTACGAACAGACCTCTGGAACCTAACTCGTTCGTGAGTAGAGGAGTCCCTGTCACAGTAAAATATATATATATGTTTTACTAAATATCGGTACAGAACCATGGTCACATCCGATTATCACGATTGGTTACGTACGGTGCGAAAGAAGCCCAACGTACATAGCATCGGCGAAACAGAGCAAAAAAAATCTAAATCAAAAAGAGATACGTGCATGGAATGACTCGGAGAGACGCAAATAGGAACACGTGGACTAAGATATCGCTGGCGAGTTACATAATGTACGTTCTTAAGAAAGTGTGGATTGGGCAGGACACACCACGGCTAGAAGTGGTTGATGATGGCCCCATGTCTTCTTGGTTCTTTCGGTAAAGTCACGTAGAAGGGAAATAATAAAAATCAAACATAATAAAATAATTCTCACGACGTTTCGGCCACAACGCAAGCAGCCGTCCTCAGGTGAAGACCAGGTCTGTCGGGGAGACAGCGTCTGTCGGGAAGACAGCGTCTGAATTCAGACGCTGTCTCCCCGACAGACCTGGTCTTCACCTGAGGACGGCTGCTTGCGTTGTGGCCGAAACGTCGTGAGAATTATTTTATTATGTTTTATTTTTATTATTTTATTACTTCCCTTCTACGTGACTTTACCGAAAGAACCAAGAAGATGAATCCCTGCAGTCACGAAAGCTTTAAGTCGAGATGGCCCCATGATCAAGAATAATACCGCAGTTGAACGAGTCCGAGAAGATGAAATCGGCTCTGGGTGGATTATTATTGTTTTTTTCGGTAAAGTCACGTAGGTAAAAAATGAAATAAAAATAAATAAAAATAAAAGAATAAAAATCACGACGTTTCGGAGGCAACACAAGCTTCCGTCTTCAGGTGAAACCGTCACAGTAAAATATCTGTATCAAGTGAAGAGAAGTCCCAAGAGGTACGACCTTATATACTGGTTAAGGGGGGGTGGAGCCAAGATGTGCCGCGGGAGAGGAGGAGTTGTGAGATGGTCAGTACTGCTGCTGGAACTGAGCCTTTGTGATGTCGGTGTAGAAAGCTTCAAATCTAGAATGGATTGTTATTGACGTCGCAAGGGTAGTAAGAGGTGGTGGCGAATTGGGCATGCCATCCATCCAGACATCCAGTGGATCGACCATGGCCGATGATAAGACTTTAAATATCACGGTGTGTTTGTTTACCATCGTGGCTGCGCGCCACGGTGTAACGTTTACCCAACTTGCGTGGTTGGGTTTTTAGTATTGGGCATCTGTGAAGAACAGCTTACAGCTCATCTTCTTGGTTCTTTCGGTAAAGTCACGTACAAGGGAAATAATAAAATAATAAAAATAAAACATAATAAAATAATTCTCACGACGTTTCGGCCACAACGCAAGTAGCCGTCCTCAGGTGAAACCAGGTCTGTCGAGGCGACAGCGTCTGAATGAAACAGCACACGTGCTTGGAGCATATATACTGTATAAGCTGGGTTGGAAGGGGGGGTAAAGGGGGCGCCTTGACAAAAGAATTTGCATATCAAGAGGAATCCAGCATACCCATGGGAAATGCAGGTATGTGATTCGTACTACTTGTGTCCGTGCATTATGCAGGATTAGATTAATCCCTGCAGTCACGAAAGCTTTAAATCGAAGCTTACAGCTCATCGAATTCCTCGAGTATGAATAAATATTCTCATTCTGGTTGGCAGTCGCGGAACCTGCGCTGTGATTGCTCACATCACACGCTGGTTCAACGCAATCGCACCGATGCCCGCGTATCGATACGAATACTTGCCTCAGCGAGGGATACCGTGGAACGCACCCTCTACAGGCTCGTGGCAACGAAGCACTTTGCGGCTTAGCTGATGCCACAAACACGAATTTAATACATCGGCTGAGGTTACTGCCAACGCAATATACAGATATAATGATTCAGTCGTTCCTATTTGCATCGCATTGATTTGCTGCTGCTGCTGCGGTTTCAAGATGATTTTGCTTAGCCAGATGAGAACTGTCCATTGAGTAAAGCTCCGGATTTGGCAAATCGAATGATGTCGACCGTCAAAGCTAACGGTGCGTAAGTGCAGGTATTATGGTTATTCTTGATTTGAAGCTTTCGTGACTGCAGGATTCCATACTCTTTGATTCTTTCGGTAAAGTCTAAATAGGAAGACGCTGCTTCAGCAGTTCCACTGCTGGATTATATTTTTTCCGCCTGAGGACGATCGCTTGTGTTGCGACCGAAACGTCGTGATAAATTATTTTTTGTTTTATTTAATCTTTCTACCTACGTGACTTTACCGAAAGAACCAAAGAGTATTAAGGTTATTTTCGACGGCACTAATAGCCAGGCTGGTCGCTAACAGCTGCGCCACCGCTCCCCACCAGCACCAGCACGACCAGCGGCAGTAGCAGCCAGCAGCACCAGCAGCCGTTCTGTGCGCGCCCTAAGGTCACTTGGAACCATCATCACAGCAGTGGCCCGCTGCCTCGTGGCCTCGTCGGCTGACAGCCGGTGAGTTAGTGCGAACCCCGCTGAGATGTTGGGCGAATGCGGTGGTTGGTGTGGGTTGTGTGTGGGGTGGGGGAGGCATCAAAGCAAAGCCCTCCCCCCCACGGCACTCCATCTCCTTATGTTCCACACGGGTCATGCTTTCCGAGATCTCGTGCGTGCGCGACCTTTTTTGGGGATGGCTCATCCTAAAATTCTAAGAACACTTTACGTTGTTTTTCTAATCCGCTACATTTACACGGACGGACTGCGTGCATTTGCGAATGACCGTGGGCTTAGTTTCTCACCGCTGGCCCCGAAGTTGGAATTGTCGGCATCAGGCGCTACCACTCGGGTACAAAGTTCGCTTATCTATTACCTCTAAATAATAATGACGATGATACGTTTCAATCTTGATTTGAAGCTTTCGTGACTGCAGGAATCCATACTCTTTGGGTTCTTTCGGTAAAGTCACGTGGGTATATTTTATTTTATACCTACGTGACTTTACCGAAAGAACGAAAGAGTATGATGATTTCGATTTAAAGCTTTCGTGACTGCAGGGATTGATTTTATTGGTTCTTTCGGTAAAGCCACGTAGAATGGAAATAATAAAATAATAATAAAACACATAATAAAATAATTCTCAAGACGTTTCGGCCACAACGCAAGCAGCCGTCCTCAGGTGACTTTACCGAAAGAACCAAGAAGAGTATGATGACGTTTGCATGCTGGAAAATAAGAAGAGGTTTGGCGGGGGGGGGGATAGTGTGGGGGGGGGGGGGTAATGACGTCACGCCACGCTTGTGAGGTGGAGGGGAGGGGGTTGATTGGGCTGAGGTGGAGAGGGCTGTTGTGAAGAGGATTGGGGGGGGGGGGTAATGACGTCACGGGACGTAGAAGGTAATGAGGAAAGGAGTCCTGACGTCACGCGTCACCGGCGAGTTGGAGCAGAAGGATGGTGACGTCACGCTCGATTTGGGGTGCGTTAGGTTGGGGGTGACGTCACCAGACGCGGGTGGGGGGGGTATTGGGAGTAGAGTGGGTTAATGACGTCACGCAGCACGGGTGAGGTGGACGACAGGGAGTGATGACGTTCAAGGGACTCGGGAGTGGTGAGTGGAGGGGGCTGGGTATGACGTCACGCGACATAGGTGATGCGTTTGCGAGGAATTGATGATAAAGTAATTCGATATCCTTTCACCGCAGAAGTTCCTATATTATTGTACTCTACATTATTACAATTAAATGAGCGTATTAATTACCCAATAAATATAAAATAGGGCAAAATAAGAGGATTATTTGAACATATTTTGAAGTCTCACTGAATCTCAAGACTTTTTCAGGAGAATTGCTGCCGAGTTTTCGCAGTATGGGAGGCAACGTTACTGCTGCTGCTGCTGCTTCTGGATCCTAATTGAAGTGATACTGGTAGGAACCTCCTGGTTACACCAGCCCACAGGGGATTATTGTGTCCGTCCGTCGTGCAGGGAGGGGCTGGGTGGGGAGGGAGGGGCTGGGTGGGGAGGGAGGGGCTGGGTGGGGAGGGGAGGGTGGGGCTGGGTGGGGAGGGGAGGGTGGGGCTGGGTGGGGAGGGAGGGGCTGGGTGGGGAGGGGAGGGTGGGGCTGGGTGGGGAGGGAGGGGCTGGGTGGGGAGGGGAGGGTGGGGCTGGGTGGGGAGGGGAGGGTGGGGCTGGGTGGGGAGGGTGGGGAGGGGCTGGGTGGGGAGGCTGGGGAGGGGCTGGGTGGGGAGGCTGGGGAGGGGCTGGGTGGGGAGGGTGGGGCTGGGTGGGGGGTGGGAGGGGGGGGGGCTGGGTGGGGAGGGGCTGGTCACCCCGTGGTGCCCTTATAAAACTCAACGTTTAACCTACTCACGCCGGCTTGTGCCCGCCCTCACAGTCGGGCATATTTGCGGAATACACCACGCCGCCGTTGACCCTGGCCATTGACCGAGCAACCCAACGTTCCTACCAGCTCCCTCCGCAGGAATGTGTTTTGCAGGTAACGTTTCAGCAAGCGGATATTGGGGACACAAAACAAGCTCGTCACAAGTCAAAATATATTCGTGAACTAATTTACACAGTAAAAACAATTACAGTAAAATTAAACCCAAAAAAATACAATTATGTTTGGCTGGCACAGTAGATCGAAATGCACAATTATAACATATATAACACGACCTGATCATCATGAATACGATAACGACAATACTGGCACACAATCGTCGGTCCAAAGCATAGCCTCTGCAATACCCAACAGCACTTTGAATCCCGCCATGCGCAAGCGACCTTCCCCGTGGCGTTCCCATAACCGTGGGGATTTGTTCCCGTGTACACGGAGGCTGGGGAACTTGACAGACTTCCCCCACTACCTTGAAGCTGCCGCTCCGGGAGATGGGAATCGAACAGGCGCGCTGACCATGAACAAACATTTCACTACCTGTGAGATATTTCACTACCTGTGAGATCTTCACTCAAAACTGCCCTAGCTGCCACTGCTATTCAGTGGCCTGAAATCAAATGTATCGCTCCAGATGACCGCTGCAAAGTATGATCTTGAATTTTGATTATGGTGTGCTGATCTTTAAAGGTGCATTGAAAAAATGTCGATACTCCTACTGATACTCCTGCTGTTATGGAATGACTCATGCTGCCAGCTATGGCTGCAAAGTTTGGTCGTACATGTTATGTATATCGTTTATTGTTAAATTTGAATCACAGTTCCTATGATCACTGTTACATTGTTTTTATAGATTTTTTTTAGTAATTTCGAAAACGCTTTGGTTTAGCCATATTTGTTTGTTGTAGTACAGAGTTAGACTGATAACTTTAATCTAAATTGTCTTGTGGTTGTTATTATTTGACTTGCATCCCACTGGGATTTTTGCACACAGCAGTTGATATGCGGTGCTTTTTCTGGAATATTTTGCTGTTTTTTCCTGAAATGTTCTTGTTGCGTGTAGTCACTTTAAGATGTTTCCTTGTTCATGGCTCACAGGGCTCTACCTAATAAATGAAATTGAAAAAAACTGAAACAACCACGGGCTGCTGCTCGGCGAGCATAGCAAGCATCGCCACTTCACACGCGGATTCGGGAGTGTGTCGTCGAAACGCCACGCACGGCTGGAACCACAAAGTGAAAAGCGCGCATCTCTCCATGCGAACATTCGTTATTCATGTTGGTCATTTTACACAGCATCACAAAAGACAAGTTCTAATCAGTTCCGTGGAAACCCATTATCATGGCCGCAATGTGTCACGTGGCATTGAACGTTATATCGTAAACAATTAGAAATCACTAACATATATACAAATTCTTACTTTACATTTCACCCTATTTTAACATGTACACACACGTTCGGCTCACCCCGATTACTTTCGCAAAGGCAAACAAGCAACTATTATCTTCAACTGTACCACGTGATAGAAGATAATGAAAATATTCCAATCTCTTTTCAAATCTGGCATGGATTCGATAGTGGGCTCGGCAACGCGAGTACCGCGCTGTGGAAAGTAAAGTGGTCGTGAACAGGACACAGTGGCACCCGTCATGGGAATGTGGACTTTCCAGTGCACCAACGACGAGGGGGCACGAGCCCGTTGAGCGCAGGGGTGGTGCGGCCAGTGCCGGATTAAGCTAGTGCGGGGCCTGTAGCATTTGTTATAAAGGGGCCCTAAATAAAAAAAAACACATAAATATTAAAACACAATTTTTTACTTGCACAGTAAAGTCATTGTATTTTTTCATTTTCTATGCAGCCAGATAATACGACAAATCGCTAACCTTCAACACCCGGTCGTTCGTAAAAGTTGAAGGTGGTATAGTACTATAGTAATAGTGCAAGTGCAGAATCACTGAACCGGAATTGATAGCTTGAAAGCATTTAGCGCGGGGCCCTTGAAAGTGCGGGGCCCGTAGCATGTGTAGCTACTTGTGCTACATGTTTAGCTACTTGTGCTACTGGGATAATCCGCCACTGGGTGCAGCCACATCACAAGGCACGGTATAAAACGCGCGGCAAGCGCGTCGAAATAATTAAAAAACCAAAAATGTTCGTGGTTTATTTTGTTTTGCTTGCCAGGGACGGAATGCACAAGTCCAATCCACTGATGGATGAGGATCTCCCCATACCGCGGGGCAATTATTTTCTTTTTATCACACTTCACCACCACGCCAGTCAGAGTGGCTCAGTGACAACGGAGTGACTATTGGGTGGAATGACATGGCAGTGCCGGGCATCGCACGCCAATTACAGCAGCGCTGGGGATGAAGACACTTCGTAGAGAGAGGCAGTGAGTCACAACAGGGAGAGAGAAGCGTAAATCCTTGCGTCTGGACTTGAACAAGCGGACATAATCTGCGGTGCGTTTGCCGTGTGAATATGTAAGTGAGTTCCCACTGTGAGTCATCTCTACTGATGTGCTCCTGCGCTCCTTAGTACGGTGGCAGTGTTACAGGAATGGAAATGGCGAGATATAGTTTCCGGTTGGTGCTCATCACATCACGGTGTAATTTTTAAAACGTATTTTACACCGACGCGCGCAAGACGCAACGGCGAGCGTTGGCTCGGACGAGGGCTGCTGATGATACGGGGAACGCGAGCGAGAATCGGGCGACGGCTCAAGCGGCGTCAACGTCAATGGCCAAACAGAGCAGGCATTGGAACGGGGAGAAAGGACCAATTTACCCCACAAACCACGAGTCTAAAAAAACTGTATTTTTTTATTTTACTAGGTAAGGTCCACTTAGCTATATAACTCTTTTTCAAAAGTGACCTGGCCACAAATGATAGCTCAACGAAGTGGCTTATCATAACGTGGACATTTATAGCAGCTAAATACTCTTAAACACACGTTTCTAAATATATAGGCAAAAACCGGAGGATCCTGGAGAAAAATCCACGCGACCACAGAGAGAATACGCAAACTCCAAATATACAGGCGTCGGGGTCGGGACCGAACCCACGACCTCCTGTATACCAGGCGAGTTAACATTTCGCCACCGTGGCGCCCCGCATAAAAACATCGCTCGGCTGATACGGATATCTCCTACACCGACGGAGAATTGAGAATAGCTCACAGTGCAACCGCGGTCACCGATATCAAACCGTGGTACGCAGAGTGACACCACTGCCCGCTTCTATCAATCACTGGCAGCATGTCAGATATTCACCAGGCTACTTGTGAAGCTGTCCACTGGCTCACCCACCAACCTGAACATGAACAAATAAACATAAGGTGCTTGCCACAAATGAATCACAATACCTTGCTGATCTCGCCAAGGAGCATAGACCATCACGCAAACTCTTCTTTAGAACTGCTTTGTGTGTTTAGTTTGTTGTCCTTCCCCCGCACCTTTGAATAATACGCCTGGCTACGTACAGTGCAAAATAAGTTGAATATACATTCGTACATAAACGTTGCTGATTGGCTTCCCTCCGCTCGCAACAAGAATGACTTGCGCCCGTCCAGGTGGCACATTGCACGAAGCGCTCGGCTCGTGATTGTAGAGGTCACGAGTTCAAATCCACGTCGGGTTATGACTGAGTGGTTAATTTTAGAGACTGGTCCCTACCATGGGAATGTGGAATGTACACCTGTGGCTCAGGGTCGTTAATCAGAGAAGAGCGGGACCCCACGGTCAGTGGGAAGGGAGGCACTGTGGCTTCTATTTTGAGGAATTTTGTTTAGGCTATCAGAAATAATTGTAAATTTGTATTTTCTATCTTAAAAAAATATATTCTTTGCAGTTACTTTTTCAAGTTTACATGATGGATGTAGCTTGCACCGTAAAATATGTATGTTCATGAGAAAACATACAATTAGCATTGATCAATGCATCTGGCTGGGTGACAGTGTGGAAAAATTAGCAACTCAGAGTTGGCAGTTTGTGACTCATCACCATTATCTTGTTAAAAATAAATACTAAATTGCTTGTTTTATGCCAATAGTATTTCACAACTTCTGTTGTTCCAAGGTCTCCCTTTTAAAATAATCTCTTTTGGCTCCTGAATGCATGTTGTAGCAAAAAAATGAGTGGGGATTAAATATTTCCAAGTTCACTGGTGCAGAAACTACCACATGAATATTTCTTGTTTTATTTTAACCCTCCCATGCATCTCGTTTGGTGGAGAGGACTCGCTCTCTGCCCTAAATGATCGCCGATGAAATGACCTCGGTTAACACAACCGATTCAGCCGTTTGGTATGGCATACCGACGCTTTGTTGCACATTCTGAGAGCTTCTTCAATCTACACCAGCGGTTCTCAAAGTGTGGTCTGCGGGCCGTCGGGTGTGCCGTGGCGGTCCTGCAGGTGATCCGCGGGGCTGTGATGCAAATGCAGGTCGACCTGGAAATAATTAACTTTTTATATACCCTTTGTTTCGGACAGTAATATTTTACTCAAATTTTATTTTAAAAGTTTAAGTTAAGTAAACTACCCTGATCAAATTCGCCGAACATTAAGATCTAAATGCCACCCGAGACAAAAAAAGCTTATAGCTGCATAATTTTTTTTATGTTCCGGTAATATGCATATTTTTTTATTCCTGGTATTTAGAGAAAGAAGTGAATGCATGTTGTCATCAGACGGGAGGGAAGCTGGGTAGTCCACGGAAATGTTTGCATCGTCTGAGTGGTCCACGGGCCAAAACAGTTTGAGAAACACTGACCTACGCAAACGATATTGTCGGGCAAGCAGATGTACAAAAGCACCAATTAAATTTGGTAAAAAAAGAAGGAAATGAATTCAAGCTCCCAGAATATTGAGTGAATGTCATAATACAACGCTCCACGTGATGGGAACTTGTTCCGGAACGGACAAAGCATCCCAGCACGTGGAACGAAACACGGGACATCGTGCGGGAACGACACGCGCCGGAGAGCCGTACGGCGCACACCCGCGGAAATCTACGCCGAGGGCCACATCGTTGGGACTAAACCGTACCAACATCATTCTGTGTGGAGCGTGGACTCTGGCCACCGAACGACGGTATTAAATTTTGATTTAAAGCTTTCGTGACTGCAGGGATTCATATTCTTGGTTCTTTCGGTATTAAACTCGCAGTTTGTGCTGCTCATTCGTGAATTTATCCCACGACTGCATCCATTGGGGGGCGAAAATTTCAATTTTGTGGCATTGCGCGGTGAAAGAAAAAAATTCTCCTGCGGATCACTCGTTACCGCTTACGATGAAAGCAGTCGCCTGCAATCGCAAGAGACGAACGTTTTGGCGACTTCAAACAAACCATCAGCTATGTACAAGAGCCGAGGATGGTGACAAGCTACAATGATCTTCTCATCTCTGCTCTCCTCCCCCAGACACCACACCCCCCTCCCCACCAACGACGATAGGCATGGATTGTCCCGACGGGTCCGTCCTGCCGACCCCCATTGCTTGGCAGGCCCCGGCTGGGCCACGCCATTTCAATTGTCGGTGAGGAATGTGTGGTTCTCGTTGTTGTTCTGGTTGCGCGGCTCCATGTGGAAGTTGTCGACGATGTTGTTCTCGTAGATGCCCTCGTTGGAGTAGATCACCTCGTAGTCAGAGTCCTTCTTCTTCTCCTCCTCCAGCACTTTGAGTATACACTTGTGGATGAATATGTACTGCATCTGCAAATCGCACGTCCACCACGGTCAGAATTTTAGTCTCTTTGGTCTCAGCCGAGCCGACGGCAGCCTGCGCAACTTTAGCCAAGTCTTCGCGCGCGAATTTCATTTAACCGGCATTGTTTATTTTAATAGCCACATTACGTGCACAAAATAAGGTTTTACAAAAAAAAATCCACAGGTTGTCATCCAGTGCGCGAGTGTGCGAGCGTATGAGTGTGTAAGCCAATGAGAGTGCACCAGTGTGCAAGCGTGCGGGTGTGCGAGTGTGCCGGTGTGCGAGTGTGTCTTTGTGCGAGTATGTCTTTGAGCGGGTGTGTGGGTGTCTTGAGTGTGCGAGTGAGTGTGTGTGTGAGTGTGCAAGAGAGTGGGTGTGTGAGTGCGCTGGTGTGCGGGTGTTTCTTTGAGTGGGTGTGCGGGGGTGCGAGCGAGCGGATGTGTGAGTGTGCGAGTGAGCGGCGTGCGAGCGTGCGAGTGCGTGGGCGTGCGGCCGCACCTCGGTTTGCACCATCAAGACGCGACTCATGCGCATGTCATGCACGATGCGGTAGATGTCGATCTCCGGCTTCTTGTCGATGTCTTGCAGGAGGTGGTCGAGCGAGATGAAGGTCCCGGTCCTCCCGACGCCCGCGCTGCTCCCACACGCGCACGGAGACGCAGCACGCAGAGCGCCGTCGTTTAAATTCCTTGCTTGACTTCGATTCGAACTGGGATCGTGTTTATTCCCTCTGGCAGGCTAGGGTGGCTAGAGGCAAGATGTTAACTACCTCGCCTAGTATACAGGATGTCGCAGGTTTGATCCCGACCCTGATGTCTGTATGTGTGTTCTCCCAGTGGTCGCATGGATTTTTCTCCGGGTCCTCCGGTTTTTCCCTCCACACTTAGAATCAACACGCATTTAGAGTATTTGGCTGCAATAAATGTCCACGTGATTAGCCCCTTCGTTGAGCTATCATTTGTGGCCAGGTCGCTTCCAAACAAGAGCTATATAGCTCAGTGGCCCTTACCTTGTAAAAATAAAAGTTTAGTTTACAGAATGCAACAACTACCTACCGGCTCGGCAGTTGAAGCAACGGGCAAGTTTCTTTCAGTCCCCCCCCCCTCCGCCCCTATCACCTGTCCACCCAGCAGTATAAATGGGAACACCACAGAGTTGGTCAAGCGGCAGGTCGAGTGTGGTGGGGTAAAGTGTGGGTAGTACTCCCAGACTCTTCTTCCTCCAAGACGTCCGCCCAGCGTGAAGGAGGAAGGCCAAACTGCCCTCTAGAGTTGCCCGCTAGAGTTGCCCACTAGAGTTGCCCGCTAGAGTTGCCCTCTCGAGCTCCGTCGAGCCGAGACCCTTCTGCCAGCAGTGGCGTGAGCAACACGCACAGCAGGGCTGCACTTCTACCATTGCCCTCTATTTACTACTCCCGCTACTTTCTGTGATATTTGTGCGTTGACTGTCACAGTGCACACCAGCATCAGTCAGCCTTGGTCAATCGACTGCTGGATGAAGGCGTCCCCCAAAGTCACCGCTATCTTTCACGATCCTGCGATGCGATGATCCACCTAGCACCTGTACACGAGCCGATTCCATTGCTCCATCTCCGGAGGGAACGCCTTCTTAGGTCCGTTCAGTTTCTTGGCATTTCGTTAATAATCAAGGCCACAATTTTGTCGCGATTATCTTTAGTCAAATTAATGGCTGATGTGCGGGGAAAACGCAATAATTCGCGCAAAGGTCACAGAATAAGTCGGGGTGATTACCCACCTAAAATTTTCAACGTGAAAAAAAATAAGTAGATATTTATTTGAAAAAATGAAATGAATAAAATAACTATTTGGTTATTTCGGTAAAGTCACGTAGAAAGAAAATAAATTAAATAATAGAATACGACGTTTCGATTGCAACACAAGCAATCGTCATCAGGTAGAACTAAATTTGAGAGAGAGACAAAACACAGACACGGAGACACACAGACAGACACACAAGCAGAGAGAGACAACACAGAGACACACAACATAGACTGTCTAGAGAGAGACACACAAATTAACGATTTTCCGTGACCATCGTGACCTCCTTGCCAAAGCCAGCATCGATCACGGTCTATCGTCATCACACATCATCATCGTAGTCATCGTTAAAATTATTGTCACGATCGTTAGAGTCGTCGTCACCGCCGCCGCTGCACCTGCAGTGGACAACGATGGGGCCGCCCTTGTTCGTTGTATTCACGTGGGTGCGGAAGATCCGCACGAAGTTGGTGAGCGAGTCCGTCGTGTCGGGGACGCCGTGGTCTGGCCACGCCGTGAAGTGGAAGTGGTACAGCGGTCGCATTTCATCTGTCTTGTGCTGAGCCGGAGGATAGGGGGGGGGGCGCAGGGAGAAAGCGGCGGTTAGTGCGCCCGGCACGCCACATTCAATATGGAGTACATCTCGCATTGGCTGTGCCGGCTGGTCACGTGCCTACTACTCTGGCGAGACAGCGGTTGGCATGGGAGAGGAAACGTCGTTTACGAGGAGGGAGATAGCGGTTTGCCAAGAAGAAGATGGCGGTTGGTGCGGGAGAGAGAAAAGGCGGTTTGCAAGGAGAGAGATGGCGGTTGGTGCGGGAGAGAGAAAAGGCGGTTTGCAAGGAGAGAGAAAAGGCGGTTTGCAAGGAGAGAGATGGCGGTTGGTGCGGGAGAGAGAAAAGGCGGTTTGCAAGGAGAGAGATGGCGGTTGGTGCGGGAGAGAGAAAAGGCGGTTTGCAAGGAGAGAGATGGCGGTTGGTGCGGGAGAGAGAAAAGGCGGTTTGCAAGGAGAGAGATGGCGGTTGGTGCGGGAGAGAGAAAAGGCGGTTTGCAAGGAGAGAGAAAAGGCGGTTTGCAAGGAGAGAGATGGCGGTTTGCAAGGAGAGAGATGGCGGTTGGTGCGGGAGAGAGAAAAGGCGGTTTGCAAGGAGAGAGATGGTGGTTTGCAAGGAGAGAGATGGCGGTTGGTGCGGGAGAGAGAAAAGGCGGTTTGCAAGGAGAGAGATGGCGGTTTGCAAGGAGAGAGATGGCGGTTGGTGCGGGAGAGAGAAAAGGCGGTTTGCAAGGAGAGAGATGGCGGTTCGCAAGGAAGGAGATGGCGGTTTGCAGTCAATGGTGGGACGGCTGCAGGGGAACGGTGGTGGTGGTGGTGGTAATGTCTGGGGAGGGGTGAGAGAGTAAAAATAAACATTCGTAGCTGCCGTCTGTTGACAGCGGGGACCCTTAAGAGGCTGGTTGTTTGCGCTTAAGGTCATGACCAGGGCTTAATTTCCGGCGGGGGTCCATCTCAGCAAATAGCAGTGCGCCCAGCACACCGTGACTAATATAATTCTCGCTGCATCGTGGCTCCCGGTCATGGTGGCACTTCCCCTCAAGACGGTCCCCGTCTCAAAGCCCACTGCAGTCAAGGAGGACAACATTCAGTGAGAATGACGCTCTGGTGGGCACGACCGTCCATACACGAAACGTGCAGGGGGAGCGGGGATCATCGCTCATGAAGCCCTTCGCTGTGAGCACAGCAAGACATCTTAGCGGAGTTCCTGTAACAGCTGTTAGGGTTAGTGGTCTTATGCTACGGAATGTGGTCTAGAGATACGGGGGTTGGGGGGGGGGCAGCTATTTACTCAAAATCTCAAACAAATTGCCACGGTCACCAAGAATTACACTTTTTCTTTTTCGACACGGAAGAGTGCTACGACGAGTAAGGAGACTTTTAATGAAACATTTTAATTGACGCGAGGGAAATGCGCGACGACCCACAGATGCACTTTACAAGGCACTTTTCATGTTTTTTTTTTTGCAACTTAAAGGTGCCTTTCTTTGTAACCTTTACTCAAATGGCAGCAAAATGTACTTATTTCGCTCGTCTCATCCCCTCAAATATATTCCTCATTGACAACATCCTGCCCTCCGGTCAATGACTTATTGTGGGTTGTGTGCATTCACGCACGCATGCACTAGGCGCGTGCGTGTGTGCGTGCGAGTGTGTACGCATGTGTGCGCGCCTTGAGACCAGTTGCACAGGTATTCGGTGCTATATATATTAGATCAACTCGGCCTCAAATGAGCACCTGGTGCAGTGTGTAAACATCGCCACTGGGGAGAAAAAGGTGGCCGGGTGTAGTGTTGGCAACCCACCCCCTCCTCGTGTGCCATGGTGGCCTTCATTGGTGCTCGATAACAGCACTTGCCATCAACAATCTTTTAAAGGCTATATATGGGGCATCTCAATACAATAAACTAACATATGATAATGGTGTGTATGTGCGCTTGCATTTGCGTGCAAGCGTACATACATGTATGTGCACACGTTTCATGGGAACGCGTGTTTCTGAGCACGTGTACGTACACGTGCATGCTTGTGCGCGAATGCTTGTTGCCCGCACACGGTGTGCGTGTGTGCGTTTGTGCATGCGAGAGCGCCCGGGGGTGTGAGCGCGCGGGCCTCACGTTCTTGACCAGCAAGTGTCGGATCGTCCACTCGGGGCTCGGTTTGTCCCACTCCATTACGAGGCCGATGTCACCAGTAGCGCACTGGCGTGATGTCCATGGGCCAGTAGCACTCGCACTTGGGCTGAGGGGAGCCGCGCGGACGGAGCAGAGACAGAGGAGACAGAACGCAAGGCAGCGAGCGGCAATCAGCGCGGTCAAGTATGGGTCGAGCGACCCCCATGGCGGAGGCCTTCATAGAGTGGTGGGGAGTTGGAGGGGGGTGGGGGGGGGGGTGACACGTCTCGATTGTATCATCTCGTTTGCTCCACGAGCCTGAACTAAACGCTCGCGTGGAGTGTAACGCATTACTGCCAATGGGCGAGATTTGTATGCAAACGACATGCGAATGCTGTAAATTGGCTGAAGTGGAAAACTAAAACTGCTCGCTAACAGCACTTGCTCCTACGGTCTGTTTCAAGGCTATACGGCGGAACTTTGTGGGAATAGTGGTCGGGGGGGTGGGGGAGGATGGAGTAGAGTCGGTGAGGGGGGGGGGGTCAGTGGAGTTGGGGGTGAGGACTGAGTGAACCACTACCTAGACCGATCCATGACCGCGGTCGGTGCTGACACTCACCTGCCCACGCTCCACACAGTTGGTGAGCATCACGATCTGGTTGACCTTCTGCTCCCACACCATCCTCCAGAAGTCCTCCCTCGTGCCCGCCAGGGGCCCCTGCGCGGCGATGTACTCCCGTGACGAGGAGTGGCCCTGCGCGCCGCACAGAGACAAAGATCCCCTATGTAGCCTCTCAACAGACCGTTGGGGCAAGTGCTGTTACTAAGGCTGACAATTGTACACGAGGGAGCGGGTGGCCAACATCATGCCCACCCTCCATTCGTCACCCCAATACTGATGTTTATACACCACACCAGGTACTCAAACAAGGCTCAGTCGACCTAAAGAAGGCCCTGGACCTGTTCAGATATTCGTCACTGTTGTTGGCCGTGAGAGGGAAACAATCTCGGGTTACCAGGTCCATAGCGCAGTGCGCTAACCGCTATATAGACAAAGATCCCCCGTATAGGCTTAACAGGCTGTTGGGGAAAGTGCTGTTAGCGAGCACCTATGAAGGCCGGCATGGCACACAAAGGGGGTGGGGTGGCCAGCACCATTACCGGCCGCCTTTGTCTCCCAAATGGCAAAGTTTGCACTCATTTAAGGCCGAGTTGACCTTGTGAAGGCCCAGGACTGGTTCAGATATTCATCAGTAGTGTTGGTGGTCGCCGGGTTAGTAGCGCAGGTCGCTAACCGTCGCACCACCGCTCACACACGCACACGCGACACTTCTTCCTGAGCTGCATGGAATGCCGCAAGTGGAGGAGAAAGGCAGTCACGTGTTTTGTTCGCCGAGGTTTAAGGGGCAAAACCTTTCTTAGAATTACTGTTGTTATTTAAACTAGAAGACACCCCTTCACCTCTTAAGTTCTAAACACGAACCAAAGTCATCAAACCAGATGAATGGCAGCAGCTATAGCACGTGTCTAATAAAGGACTTCGCCATGCATTGCTTGGTCTCCTTCACTCTTTATTCGGGTTAACACCCGCACCCCGCTGGTCCCAACACCGGACTAGCTGCTCCTCGCGACGCGCCCTGCACGCGCTCTTCAGTCAGTCTTTCCCACTCCCCCTGCTCCGCACACCGCTGGCCGCAGGTGCTGAAGCCCTGCAGCCACGTGGCTGATGGCGCGGATTCCCCCCAGCCACCCAACGTGGTCGCGCTTCTTCACTTCAACAACTGACCCGGAGCCCTTCTGGGCTCCCACCTATATCCCATTCACCATGTGACCCTGTCTCCTCCCTCAAGCACGCCCTTCCAAACCTTCCAGATCTCGCCTCCCCATCGCGCCCTGCTGGCTCCGCCCCTAGGTTCCGCCTACACTCACCTCGCTTCCGATTGGACCCGAGGTGAGCAGGGGACCTTCACATACGCCCCCATACTGGCTCCGCCCCCCAATACCCTGGGCCGTATGATTGGCCCAAAGGCCAGCAGCGAACTCCGCTTGCGCTCGCATTACACGTGCAATGGCCAGTTGAGACCAGTCTCAATCTCTCTCCTTCTCAAGGGAGATCTGGCTATACATAAATACAGATGTGGCTATACATAAGTATTTATGACCGTGTGAATGCGTAGATTGTGTGAATGGACCTTGATGTATTTGGCGTTGATGTCAGTGATGGACATCCTTGATGGAGTGTGGTAGTGGTGATGGTGGTGGCGGTCGTAGTGACGGCAACGGCCGTCGTGGTCACGACGGCAGTGATGGTGGTTATGGTGGTGGTTGCGCAGCGTAGCGACGCTCACCTTGATGTAGTTGGCGTTGATGTAGTCCGAGTGAGGGATGTCCTCGACAGACGCAAGCTTCACTCTGGTGACGTCAACTGCCGGGTGGGGCGAGGGCCAACGCAAGACAAACATCAATCGAGGTTTCTTACGTTCACTGATATGTGCCTATACCGAGCCAGAACCAAACCATAAGGCACTGTCCTCAGCAGACATGTGAATCTGGCTCTGGAACGAGCGGAGCCAGAGTCATGGCTTACGACTCAATAATTGCCCGTGACGTTTGTCACTACGCTGCGAGATCACGGCGTCATTACATCATCTACACGTGTCTCAACTCGTTCACTGTGCGTACACTAAGCACACTAAGTCGCACTGCATCGTCTCATCTACATGGTCTGGTTTATTGCGTGTGAAGTCAGTAGCATGGCTAGGCATCTGTAGTGGAAAAAAACTCAACCCACACTGAGACGCTCAGGGGACAATGTCAGCAGAAATGACACTCACACGGGAGGATGTTGGTGTAGCGGTTCTTGGTTCGGTTTTCAGCCAGTGTCGCCGCTTCCATCGCTTGACCCTTGCCAACAGCTGCTGAGCTCCTGACAGGTGTGAAACATTGACCAGAATTGGTGAAATTGGGTGCTCAAACGGCTCAGCATCTCAAAGCACCTTACATCACATCTCAACCACTCCAATGCCCTGCTGCAGTCTAGCCAAAGGATCCCTGGTAGCAGCTCTCTGTACAGTACAACACAAAAACAGGACCGACTTGCCAAAGGGACGTTATTCTCCCAGTGAGAGGCAAGTTGCTATGCGGTGTTGCCACTTAAGTTGCGAGTAACTTATCAAATGTGTCAAATTGGGACCGTGATGCCAGCACACATGGCCTTGTCTTTCTAACAACCTGACCAGATTATAAAGGGTGAGTCCAGTTTCTTTTATTTTGTTGCACCAGGTGAAAGGTCAAGAGACCGGGATGAGTCTCAGATGCAACAGTGAGCCGGGTAACCAAAATGATCAAAGCAAAAAAATATAAAAGCCAAGTATTGTGGTTAATGCAGACATGATTCCTCGTAAAAGGTTTTGTTGCCAGAAAAAAGGGGAAAACCTATTCTCATTTGTTGGAACTGGCAAAGGAGGTCCCATGAAAGTTTCGATCTTCAATCCTTATGTTTAAAATATTTTCACAAGAAGTTTGAAAATGAGAATCGAGCCAGATCAGGAAATATTTTCTTTTTGTTATACTTGCAGAGAGGTTATGGACAAAGTGCAGTGACATGGAGCTGTAGTAGAGGTGGGGTTCCAAAAGGCAACACGTTGTTATTACATTTAGGTGGAATTCCGGCTTACACGGACACGACGGTGCATTATGGCGGGACTTATCCATGCCCAGCGGTAGACATGTTGTGACGTGTCAATTCATTGGCTAAAGTAGGCTTTTTACCATCGCGACACAAGCGTCGAATCCTGCGTGTGCGTATCACTTATTTCCGATTGGTATATGTCGCAGGGGGCATGATGGACGACGGTCATAGCATAAAAACAAAGAGGTAGACAAGGAATAGAAAAACGCCTGAGATCGACCAATGAAATTATATTGTGTACAGGCCTCTGGATGGTTTGTTACATTGCAGGATCGTGCGAGATGGCGGCATTCTGGAGAGAATTTTATCCACCAGTGGACTCACAATGGCTGATCACAATGTGTCGCATGCGGGACTTGTTTGGCCATACTTCACCACGCTGGTCAACGCGGGTTCGTAAAGTAGGAGGCCCACTAACCTGGTATTCCTCGGAAAATAAATACCCAGAGTCGGCCTCGCGCTTCTTATAATATTCCGGAAACCTGGAAAATGAGCAATCAACGAGTTTGTTGTAATGAAAGCAACTGAAAAAAACGTTCAATGTTACTCATTAAGAATATCGAACATCTAATCTGTACAATACGCAAGACTTTTAGGGGGGCAATTAATTAAGCGTGGGGCCCCTGTGCACGTACATGCGTTATGTAAAGACAGTATCGTTTTAATGTGCTCGATATCAGCACTGGACATTACAATTGTCACAATATATTGGCCACTATTTATTACATTAGTATTATTTATATGCTTGGTTATGCAGGAAAGACTCGCCGAGTCTCAACTATTTCAGGAGGGTCCTGTCAAGGTTTTTGCAGCAGAGGAGTTAAGCGCTATGTTCTTCCCGAGTAAATAAATTTGCGGTGTCATTTTGAACTCTGGACCATGAAGCCGACAAACAATGGTATACTTTTCTTCAAATTATGTCACAGGATCTTTAATATTCACTTTGAAGAAAACGGATTGTATTTTATGCGAATACGCCCGCAGCATTAACCAGGACGGCCTTCTAGATTTTAACCGTAAACCTGTGCAAGCAACAAGCTGTGAACACACTACCGCTCGATCACGCCACCACTCAGACACACTCAGACTTACTTGCTAAAAGGCACTGGACTTCTTTTCCTATAATCACACAGATGCAAAAACAACGTTCGAAAATCAGCAAACAAGATCAACAAAATTCAGTATGCGACGACGCATCGATGCAACCATTAACGTGTTCATATTCATGATCAGGGCTATTAATTTCTTACTGAACATGTTCTGGTTCACTATCAGACCGGAGTGACCAGATTACTATTAGCAGACAGCCATAGTGAAAGGAATACTGAATGTGGTGTGCTGGGTGCGGCATATCTTCCGGGTAACTGTTCGTCTGAAGTAAGTGGCACGTAACTGGTAAGCCAAACTTCGTTTTCCATAATAGCTCATAGTGTAGCAGGCTGCTCCGCTTCGCGAGTATGGGAACGTTTCTGTGTGCACACAACCGCACGGGCAGGCCGAAATGCTACCTATCAAGCAATTTTTTTTATTTTACTAAGTAAGGCCCCACTGAACGATCCAGCACTTTTTCAGAAGTGACTTGGCCACAAATGATCACTCAACGTAGTGGCTTGTCAAGTGGAAATTTACAGCAGCCATAATACTCTTAAATGCGTGTTTCTAAATGTGGAGGGAAAAACCGGAGGACCCAGAGAAAAAAAATCCACGCAACCACGGAGAGAACACGCAAAAAATCTAAATAAACAGGCGTCAGGGTCGGAATCGATCCCACGACCTCCTGTGTACCAGGCCAGGTAGTTAACATCTCTCCACCATGGCAAGATGTCGATTCGAGAAAGCGTCTTCCTCTTTACCCCTATTCCAGTGGCACATCCGAGTCGAGCCAGCATGAAACCGTCACGGTTAGGGTGGTTTTCCACTGGCCATTTGCCAAGCCGAGTCAGACCTAAACCTTGGCTTCACAAGACATCCGCATTTAGCTCTGGGCCAAGCGGGATCAGCGGCGTGGTGTTCATTATGCGTGACGTCAGTCAGTACAGCTCAACGCAGCTTCACCACACCCTTCCCAGCACAAACCGGAGCAGGGTGCAGAGGTTGCAAGCTCAGAGGTCACTAACACGGGGGTCACATGCTTGCGTGTGACGTCAGCGGCAGTGGAATAAACAACCTGGTGTCTCCCGAGCTGCTCCGGGATGGCTCAGCACGTGGTTGTGCCAATTGCAAATGGTGGTAATTGTGCCGTGCGTGTGTTTTGGCCGTGTCTGCATTACCTCATTGTAGATAGTTTATTTGTCAGAACTTCGTTGGGTACGCGTTTCCTAAAGAAACGCAGAAATGGACAACGATGTCAATGATTTAAAGCTTTCGTGACTGCAGGGATTCATATTCTTGGTTCTTTCGGTAATGTCACGTAGAAAGGAAACAAAAACTATATATAAAACAATATTGTATTGTTTCCCTTCTACGTGACTGTACCGAAAGAACCAAGAATATGATGTCAATGATGTTGTTTTAACCCTCGGATGCACCACGTCCTTTGTGGTGTACTGCTACGATTCGTTGGCATTTCAACCACGGTGCATGCAGTTCTCTCCCTCGGGTATCACATATTTAAGGAGCATAAACTACACAAACTCCGGTCATCCTCGCAGCAGTGGCGGCTTTTGGCTGGCCATCGAACAAAGACGGTCACCGCATTGCGCGCTTCCAGATGCGCTTCTGGAACGCTCTTCCTTCCGATATTAGGAAGCTGCTGGAGCTGTGCACGTTTAAATCTGGATTTAAAACTCATTTAATTAGAACTGCTTGCATGTTTAATTTGTTGCCCTTCCCCTTGCACCGCCGATGAGCACGGCTGGCTATGTAGAGTTCCAAAAAGAGTTCAACATACATACACATATGTGGCGGCCTAGCAGTGGACAATGTGACGACTATTGCAGAAGCATTATGCAAGGTGGTGGTGGTGGCAGGAGGAATCTGTGTGTACTGTAATGGACATGATGAGAATGTTGCGTATAAATTACATAAATATTGTTACAAAATCAACATTCACGTGGAGTTCGTTTAACTCAGCTATATGTTGTGATACTTTTAATAATCCATACGTGAGAGAGTTCAGCACAAGGGACCTTAGTCATCATCGTCATCCTACATCGTGAATTACAAATCATCTATTACCAACAAGATACAAATAGGCAATACACAATACCATATCGGTACCTCTGCATAAACATTACGGTATTTCATCCACACAACCTTCTGGGAGTACATACATTTCAGCAGCATTGGATCATCAACACAAGCAAACTGACTGCATTATGCATTTCCAGAAGGCTGTGTGGCGTGTGGGATGTGCAAAAGAAACGTAACGTTTTATGTGGAGGGACAGATATGGGATCGGGACATATTGTCCGCTCATTATTTTTTTTGCTTATGTGGTGGTCAGGATTGACACACGCGCCACAACCTAGGGGAGGGGTAGGTACCGGTCTGAACCGGTCCGAACCGGTCGGGCAAGAGGCGGTTGGAACCGCTCTGAGGGGAGGGGGCTGGTGAGAGCTGGGGCCCCCAGAACCCCCGCCCCTCAGAGAGGGAGTATATAAGACGGCTCCCGGAGAGCGGGAGTCAGTCCATCTCAAGCGGGAGTCAGTCCATCTCAAGCGGGAGTCAGTCCATCTCAAGCGGGAGTCAGTCCATCTCAAGCGGGAGTCAGTCCATCTCAAGCTGAAGCAAGAAGCCGCCCGAAGACCCTGGACCCCAAGCCGCCGATGCCCGTCGACAGGCCGGGGCTGAGTGGGGTGCCGGTGGTGGGTTAGCCTTCCCTAGGCTGAGGAGCCGGAGGGCTTGAATAGGGAGCGTGGTTAGAATAGCCCGGAGGCTGTACCTCCCTAGGTTGGGGTAAAGGGGCCATTCCCCAGTGTGTCAAGATGTCTAACTGTTAGTGAATGAAAGCGTGTGGCCTCTAAGAAGTCTCCGTCTCCTTCGAGAACGTTACACTTATATCCTCCACGATGACGTGCATTATGAGAGTATCATGCATGACTAACAATTCAACATATTTAAGAATGACAATTAAGAGACAAATAACATACCGTATATGCTACGAAAAAGAAGAATTAGAATAACATAAAAATCGTAAAATCTCATCAATGGTCCTCTAACTATCTGAGACAGTGTTCCAGTACCCAACCAGGCTGCTATTATGATTTAATTTAAAACACCGTGAGCCACCAACTGAATGCCGTGAGGAAAATGTTTGCAATTTAAAAGCAGTACTTGTGTAGTGTTATAAGGACGGACTTCTAAACTTCTTTATGGCACACACTGTTTATTATCTTAATACACAGTCCCTACCACACTAAGGGGTATATGGTCCCCTCACCCGTTACCCTCAGAAGGTACAGCCTCCGGACCTTGCAGGCTATCTAATCCCCCTGCTCTCCCAGCGTCCTCTGGCTGGACCTAGGGGATCTCTCCCCAACCACTGGTTACACTGATCCCTAGCCCTGATAAGGGCTGGAGGGCTTGGTCCAGGGTCCTAGACGTCTTCGGCCGACTTGGGTCTTCGTGCAGCAGAACTCCTAGAGCTCTCAGCGCTCTGGCTTTTATACCTGTTCGTGGCCGGGTTGTCCAATCCCCGGCCACCTTGTGGGACCCTCTGATTGGTCCTTCCCAATCTGGCGTTTGGATCCTACCTCACCACATTTGACCCTGACCGTTTGATTGAGTGGGAAAACCTTGTTTACGATCCGCTCTCTCACAGTTTGCGAACAGCGAGTAGTTAACACCACTACACTTGTACACTATCGATCTGGGTGAGCGTACGGAATGTAAAATGTATATATTAAAGTGCCGGGCCATTACCTTCGTCGATAGAACAGGAATCCACTGACAGCACCAGCAATCACTACAACCATTGCAGTCGTCAAGCAAGAAATCAGAATGACATCTGGGCCTGCAAAACACAGACCACATAACCATTTGCAAAGCGGTTTCAAACAAACACTTTACATTCTACAGCAGTGTTCCTTTAACTTGTTTTGGCCCGCAGACCACTCAGCGGATGCAAACGTTTCCAAGGACCAGCCAGCCCCCCCACCCTGATGAGAAAATGCATTCACTTATCTCTAAATACCAGTAATACAAAATGATTCATATTATAGAAACATAAAAAATGTATGCAGCTCGAAGATTGTTTTTCTTAACGATTAGACGTTTGAGTTAGGGTAGTTTTCATTAGGGTAGTTTACCCAACCCAACGTCATTTTTAAATTAAATATCATAAGTAAAATATGAATATGTCCAAAAGAAAAGGTATAAACATTGTCATTATTTCCAGATCAACCTGCATTTTCGTCACAGCCCCGTGGACCACCTGGAGGACCGTCACGGACTACTTTTGAGAACCACTAATCTACAGAAATGTGTTTTTTTTAATCTTTAATTATATGAGATATATGGATATGCGTACAGATTAGAAACATGGCCACTGGAAAACAGGATGGTACAAAAGTGGCGATGAAATAGCATCTTTGCTTGAAACACCATAAACTCACATGTTTTCACTAATTTGTCGACACTTGGCGAACATAAATTCTGGCAGCATGCCTCTACTGACACATTGTACGTAGTGCTGTAGTCCAATGCACCGGTGAAATAGGCATTTTCGCTTGAGTTAAAACTGCGTTCCCATTGAACCGATGAACCTTTTGATAAGACCACGTTGAAGAATTCGACATTTCCTTCGGGTTTTACCCACTTATATTGATGTGATTGTAATTCTCTACTTCTGGTGTGACATTCTTCATTTGGTTTGGATCTGTTGACACATAGACGTGGAATAAAAAACAAAACACTTTACTGTTAGGAGAGAAAATGGCAGGGTGGTTACTAATGCAGAGCCCTCTCGGACTGGAAAAGTTCTAAGTTCAAATCTCGGTCATAGCTCGACGCAGCCCATTACCATATTTTCGTGGCTGATACAAACAAACACCACTGTGTGATTGTGAACAGTGGTCGTCCTATGGATAGACTGGCCCCCACTATAAGAACGTGGAATTCCACGACTGGGTGAGTGCCACCATTGTAGAAGTACCACTGAATCCCAGAGGTCATATGCAGCGCCATGCCACAGCGTTGCATTTTCCAATGCACTCCTGACAAAAATTGTTGTTTGGCTGGTATCAGGGCCAAACTAGTACTCAAGTTGTCGAAAGGTCTATTGAAAAGGAACATCTTGCAATCCCCCAAAACTGTCAGGGAAGCTCTTTGTACAAGTTACAAGGATTATGGTATATCATCTGTGGGCAAGGCCAAACGCGAACATAAAGAGGTACAGGAAGACCGAGCTGTGAGACATCTGAATTTCAGGTAAGCTCATAAACCCTAAAATGCCCTCTTAGAGGGGTTCTCTCAAGCTCCCTCCAGTGGGGACCCCTTCCTCCAGCAGTGGCGTAAGAAAGCAATTGCAGGGCTGCACCTTTACCTTAAATCTGTTGGCCTGCAATTCCAAATGGTTGTTACACTCATTATTTTGTATACACACACGCGAGTCACAAACAAATGTCATCATCAGAAATTACAGCATTGCCAATATTAATTACAGACATGTTGTTTTGCGTGGATATTAACGCGACCACTTATCTTATCCGCAACACTTACATGTGACCTGTGCCGTTGGCTCGAGAGTATTTTTACAAGATGAACTGGACGTGGTAACCTGAGACATGGTATTTGGTGCATGGCTGCAATTTTTCGAAAGAGCACTCCGTTTTGTCGGGATTTAGATGTTCTATTAAATCTAGAGATGTGTCACCGTTGGTCAGTAACACGGTATAATTATCTACATTGCCAGAAGCCTTGTCAAAGCTCACTGACAAGCTCTTATTGAGATCTGTATTGATATTCAAATTTCTAACCAAGTTAGGATCTGAAAAAAAGAAGAGCACACAAATACAAGCGTGTTACAACCTTGACAGCAGTTGACTTCATTCGCGCGAGAGAGCCTTGCTCTTCTTTCGTACGGCGTGTAGCAGCAATACGCAAATCTTTTTTGGAAAAGCCAGTGAAGTTATAAATCAATGGGGTTTTTTTTTTTGCCATTCATCGGCATCGGTGATGAGCTGACAAACACTGCTTTGGTGCCGCCGTTCTGTGGTCTCAATGGGGGCAGAGGACCCACACGTCGCATCGTTTGTTCTGCTCCACAGTCACAGGTGGAATTCTCTGATAGCCTCCACACAGGGCAACAGCATCACAACTGCGGCACTCGCAATTGGGCAGTGCTGAATCGTCATTTGCAACTGATGTTCACGATACAAGCGGTGAGTGCCGTATACAAATAATTATAACTGACTGCACATGATTTACAATGGAGGATAGAGCAGTGGTGCAGTGGTTAGCGTACTGTGCAATGAACCCAGAGACCTGAGTTTGTTTCACGACCACGGCTAACATCAGTGATGATATCTGAACCGGTCCTTGATTGCCCCTTCACTAATCTGCACTGACCAGCATGGTGAAGTATGGTCAAATAACCCCCATGACTGACATGGCATGGGGAGAACCTGCATCTAATAGTGGATTGACAAAGTCTCATGAATGGTATTATAAGATGAAATGTATATGCTAACGCTATATTTAGGTTAAGACACGATTACAGCTCTTAAGCTTAAAAATAGTACAGTAGACTCTCGATTATCCGCATGCGGTTTAACTGATTCGAGGACTAACTGCGCACCCGAGATTTTGACGTAAAATAATGACTCTGATTTACCCTTAAGCCCATATTAATAATCTAAAAACAGTTATACATTGTTATTCTTGGAAATGTTTATTACAAGCCACGTGCTTAAACTGTGCTCCAGTTAATCCGAAACCCAAACAATAGACCTCTACAGTACAGTAGTTGCATATCTTTACAAAAGTGGGTGGCGTTCGATTGGTTATTGTCATGGCTCTGCTGTCAACTTAGTGGGCGGAATCTTCTGCACGGGAGCAGGAAAGTGTTACCACTGAGCACGCGCATCGACCGGTTGAATCTTTACTACAAATTTTAGCTTTGCCCATTAACAAACAAATAATTTACGTGTATATTAGTGGATTTTGGCATCGACATCTGCGGAAAATTGCTATTTTTGGATTATCCGCGATTTTGAGTTATCCGCGGCCGTCCTCCCCATCGTTAGCCGAGGTAATCGAGAGCCTCCCGTGGTTGGCTTGTGAGGAAATGCACCTCCTAGGTGTGCAGATAATAAGGTCACTGACAAGGAACTCTGAATATAGTTCTGCCAATAGCTCCTTCCACAGCCCATTCTCTAAAAACGGGGTGGTGCACTGTTCACTCCGAGAGTTCTTTATGCCGACACCACAATTGGGGATAGCATTGGGGAGAGACGTATTAAGAAAAAAGAGCCCTAAACTTCCCCTAACTTGGGTCCATGGTCTTGACTGTATCCATTCGGCGTGTAATGATTCCCAGTCTGAGCGATTTGATAATTTTCCAGAGTTCATACAACTGCATTAAAATTGGCAAACATGACATAAATTCGGAATGCGTGTGCTGTCACTCTCTGCGAGTGTCACGGGACTTACTTGTGCACATATCTTTCTTTGCCTGAATGCCCTTGCAATCTCCACCAATGGTTGTGACAATAACCTGGTACAGTCTGCCTGGATCCAGCTTCGAGAACGTGTGTGATGTTTCGTTCGCCATGAGAGATACATTTCCAACAATGAGATCATTTTTAAGTTCCTTCAGCTCAACAGTGTAACTGGCTGTTTTGCACGTGGTCTGACTAAATTCAACCGTTAGGCTGTCGGTGGTGTCTCTATTTTCGAAAATCAAATCTTCAACAGCGGCAGGATCTGCAAAGACAACACGAGTATTGCACGCATGACAAGCAGAAGTGCAGCTTGCGGGAAGACAAAAACGGCGTGGGGCACAATGCAAATCGGAATGTGCGGAGTAAAGGGGTAGGATTTGTATGAACCGAGAAGCCACCCAGTACCCCCATAAGACTTACCTGTACAAGCTGTTTCAGTCACAACCTTGCTGTACAATTCTCCACTTAATGTTTTTATATGGACCTGATATATCTTGCAAGCATCTAGATCAGTAAATAACTGGTTAGTGGTGCCATTTGATAGATTTTCTGACCTAACTACAGATCCATTGGTTCTGTCCACCAGTTCAACTGTGTAATGAGTCACATCCCCCTTGGCCTTAGTGAAGTTCACCGTCAGGCTGTTGGTGGTGCCCTTATTTTCAAGAGTCAGATTTTCAACGGCTGCAGGAACTGCAACATGAAACACGCACACAAGCACAAGAGATTAACAAAAGTGTTGGTGGCCTGGAAGGGCCATCTATATCACTGGTCAACACACTTTTTCTGGCATAAGGTATTACAACGGGTTTAAGGTAATTTCGGGGTGCTGAGTCCAAATCTGGCATCAGTTTTTGTCTATCACATCAGGTTTTTTAAGATATCAAATATTGCATTTTCAATAAAAACTGCAGAAGAAAAATATTAAAAAATGTGGATATCTACATAAAATTATATTATAAGCACACTATCCTAAAAATACAGCACCATATTTTAACACTAAAGCAGTCACTGACTCACAACTTGCAATCATAAGTGAGTTAATTTCGGGTAAAATCAATGAAAATGGGGTATGCCGATAGCATAAAATGAGATGTGATAGAGCAAATCTGAGATCAGATTTGGAATCAGCACCCTGAAATTAGTCTAAAACAGCTGCAAAAGTCCAGGCCAGAAAAAAATGTTTTTTTTTGTTGACTCCCTGTTACAGCGCTCCATTAGCAATATGAAAGCTGCACATTCATTACTTTGTTTGGGATCGACTCAGAACATCATCCATGAGGGGTCCATAAAAATGCATTCCGCTTTGTAGAAAGTCAACTGTGGTTATCCTGTGGAGATGGTGCCTACCACGATATCCATGGACAATGAATGGCCACTGATGGTAAGGAGCACTGCACCAATGTTAAATTGAACAGTGATACACTGAAGCTGGCACTGAGATAAAATCATATATTAACTGTTGAAGGTGACGACAGTTGGCAAAGTGATGCATTTGTCTTTAATGACAATGTTATAATTGCGTAGGTGTGTAGACTCACATGTGCGCCTTTCAGCATCCGCTTCAGTGCTCTTACAGTCTCCACTCACTGTGGTGACATAGACTTGGTAACGCCGGCCCGGGACTAGATCATTAAAGGTGACCTCAGTGGTGCCATTTGAAAGCTTTCCTGATCTGACCACCGATCGATTGGTTGTGTCCACCAGTTCAACTGTGTAATCAGTCACATCCCCAGCGGCGCCAGTGAAGTTCACTGTCAGGTTGGTTGTGGTGTCCTTATTTTCAAGAGTCACATTTTGAACGATTTCAGGAACTGCAACATAAAGACATGCACACGAGGTCAACAATGGTGGTGCCTGTTCAGCAGCACTTTAGTAGAGGCTTCACCTTCCCCAGTCAGAATGTTGCAGATTTAAGTCTTGCACAGGAATCAGCCCATCGTTGATTGAGAATACATTTGTATGAATTCTTCTTCTTGTTTTCTTTACTTTAAACAAGTAAACCCGTAAAAACAAAGTTTTTCACTCTAAATCCTTTATATGCGTGGCGGCTAGAGTCCTCTCGTCCTCTGGCTTGAGATGGCTGCAATCTATGGGTCAGATGATTGTCTGCCAGTATTAAGCAATTGGTAATTAAATATTTAATTTGTTTTCCCTAAACAGTGTAAAATTTTGGAAAAAAAATTTCACGAAAATTAATTGTCACACACAACGAGTCTGTGTGGAAAATGTCAGCTCGATTGGATCACGGGAAGTGGGTTAAAAAACGAGCGAAAGATTTGCACGGTCCTAAGCAAGCAAGCGAACTTAATATAAAGGATTTAAAAATATATTCGCCTGTGGAGGACGTGGGGATGGATCCCGCGACCTTTGGCATGGGAAGCGAGGGCGCTACCAACTGCGCTACTCCGCCACGGCCTGTGGAGGGGTTACGCTCTGGGCTCTTACACTCTGACGTTCAGCCAAAGCCATGAATGCGTTCTATTTGAATATATGTAAAATACATTTTTTTTTGCCTAAAAAGTGTAACATTTTGGGAATTTTTTTTCATGAACAATAATTGTCTGGCACAACGAGTCTGTGTGGAAAATGTCAGCTCGATTGGATCACAGGAAGTGGGTTAAAAAACGACCGAAAGATTTGCACGGTCCTAAGCAAGCAAGCAAGCACGCGAACTTAATATAAAGGATTTAATAAAAAAAAAGTGCGATGACTTTTTTCGTGTGCAGACTTACCTGTGCACATTTCAGCAGTCACTGGAGGGCTGGTACAGTTTCCACTCTCTGTGGTGACATAGACTTTGTAACGCCGGCCCGGGATCAGATCATCAAAGATGGACACAGTTGTGTCGTTTGGAAGATTTACTAACATGACCACAGATCCATTGGTTGTGTCCACCAGTTGAACTGTGTAATGAGTCACATCCCCAATGTCACCGGTGAAGTTCACTGTCAGGCTGTTGGTGGTGTCCTTATTTTCAAGAGTCACATTTTGAACGATTTTAGGAACTGCAACATAAAGACATGCACACGAGGTAAACAATGGTGGTGCCTGTTCAGCAGCACTTTAGTAGAGGCTTCACCTTCCCCAGTTAGAATGTTGCAGATTTAAGTCTTGCACAGGGATCAGCCCATCGTTGATTGAGAATACATTCGTATAAATTCTTCTCCTTGTTTTCTTTACTTAAAAAAGAAAGTGCGATGACTTTTTTCGTGTGCAGACTTACCTGTGCACATTTCAGCCGCTGCTTCAGTGTTGTTACAGTCTCCACTTACTGTGGTGACAATGACCTTGTAATTCCGGCCAGGGACCAGATCATGCAAGGTGTCCTCAGTGATGTCTTTTGATAGATTTCTTGACTTAACCACAGATCCATTGGTTGTGTCCACCAGTTCAACTACGTAATGAGTCACATCCCCTGTGGCGCTGGTGAAGTTCACTGTCAGGCTGTTAGTGGTGCCGTTATTTTCAAAAGTCAGATTTTCAACGGCTGCAGGAACTGCAACATAAAGACATGCACACGAGGTAAACAATGGTGGTGCCTGTTCAGCAGCACTTTAGTAGAGGCTTCACCTTCCCCAGTTAGAACGTTGCAGATTTAAGACTTGCACAGGGAACAGCCCATCGTTGATTAAGAAAACATTCGTATGAATTATTCTTGTTTTCTTTACTTAAAAAAAAGTGATTCTTTCGTGTGCAGACTTACCTGTGCACATTTCAGCAGTCACTGGAGGGCTGGTACAGTTTCCACTCTTTGTGGTGACATTGACTTGATAACGCCGGCCCGGGACCAGATCATGAAAGGTGTACACAGTTGTGTCGTTTAATAGATTTTTTGACAAGACCACCGATCCATTGGTTGTGTCCATCAGTTTAACTTCATAATGAGTCACATCCCCAGCGGCGCTGGTGAAATTCACCGTCAGGTTCTTGGTGGTGCCGTAATTTTCAAGAGCCACATGTTGAACAGTGTGAGGAACTGCAACATAAATCACACACGAGATAAACAATGGCGGTGGCTGTGAAGGGCCATCTTGTTGACAAAGGGGTGGATCAGTTGGTACAGTCCACCCAGTCACAACAGGAAAGCTGCACATTTACAATTTATTCACAGTGTCCAATCAGCCCCTTATCCATTCGGGGTCCGTAAAACAAAGTACTATTTTGCGAGGCACCAACAGTGGTTATCCTAATGAGACCATGGCTCCGACTTTGGATCCATGTAATTTCCACCATAGTTTTACGGCAGTCCATTGAAATGAGTGCTCTCCCATAGCTCATTTGAGCAAACTATACAACTATAATAATTGTTTTATTTTACCAGGTTAAGCCCACTGAGCTATTAACACTTTTGCAGAAACGACCTGGCCACAAATGATAGCTCAACGAAGTGGCTTATCACGTGGAAATTTATAGCAGCCAAAAACTCGAAACAAATCTTTTAAAATATGGAGGGAAAAACCGGAGGACCCGGAGAAAAATCCACGCGACCACGGGGAGATCATGCAAACTCCAAATATACAAGCATCAGGGTCGGAATCAAACCCACGACCTCCTGCATACCAGGTGATGGAGATAACATCTCACCACCATGGTGCCCCAATCAGATACATCTTACATTTGAACCAAGATATTCTTAAAGATATGTTCTCAGTTTATGCTTGTGTGTGTGTGTACAGACTTTTCCGTGCACATATCATAAGCCTATTTAATAGATTTTACAGTGAATTATATGGGATGCAGGAAGCTTGAACTAAGGACCTGCCTTTTGGGCAGGTATATGAATCCTTAATTCATCCTTAAGCATAATGAATCCTTCATAAAATCACCGTATATATATACATTTTATTGGATGCTGTCATTAAGTCAACAAACACCTTTGGATTGGGAACAGATGGTTTCATCTGCACCGTACACACCCACACACCAGTAGATGAGTGATCTTATACTGGAATGCTGGTCAGGACCCCACTGACAATCGTCATCGAGACACGGTCAAGCTTGCCAGGCGTGAGGCTCTCGATGAGGGCCTCGGTTTTGTTATTCGATAGAATGCTGTTAAATTTCGATTAAAAGCTTTCGTGACTGCAGGGATTCATCTTCTTGGTTCTTTCGGTAAAGTCACGTAGAATGGAAACAATAAAAATAATAAAATAAAACATAATAAAATAATTCTCACGACGTTTCGGCCACAACGCAAGCAGCCGTCATCAGGTGAAGACCAGGTCTGTCTCCCCGACAGACTGTCTCCCCGACAGACCTGGTCTTCACCTGATGACGGCTGCTTGCGTTGTGGCCGAAACGTCGTGAGAATTATTTTATTATGTTTTATTTTATTAGAATGCTGTTGTTCATGACAGATGCAGTCATAGCATCAAACAGATTAACGTTATAAAAGTCCACATCACCAATGGCCCTGAAGACGTTCACACGCTGGGGAGTTTGAGCTGCCTATATTGGCAACAGTCAATTGGGTAACAGGTGCTGGAACTATGAAACAACACAAAGCAAAACAAAACTGAAATGTACACATTACATTTGACAAACATATACGAGACAACATAAGCATGTTAACAACAACAACGCTAAAACTGTTAAGAAGAAGAATAAGTGGGCTTGTGCGGAGCGTTTCTAGAAGGGATGTTGGCCGGTGGTCGAGACTTACGACAGAGTGGCAGCCAAAGGGGTGAAACACAGCAGAAAGGTCAACCACCAAGGAGATGGAGCAACAAGATCAACTCGCGTGACCGAGATGGATTGTGACATCGCATAGACCACGAGGGATGGCGACAGCGTGGACAGGCAATGTATGTTGAACTTCTTTCGCACCGTACGTAGCAAACCGTGCTAAGCGGAGGTGCAGAGGAAGGACAACAAACTAAACACAAAAATCAGTTCTAAAGAAATTGGCTTTCAATTTAGATTTAAAATTGCGAAGCCCCAGTGGCTTCCGAATAGCGTTCCAGACGGCCGCAGAAGCACATCTGAAAACTCGCGATGCAGTGACCCGTCTTTGTTTGACGGATAGCCAAAAGTCGCTTCGAGTATGACTGCAAGTTTACCTGATGGTTTATGCTCCTTGTTGAGATCAGAAAGGTGTTGTGGTTCATTTGTGGCAAGCACTTTGTGTGTAAATGAGTGCGACCTTATAACGTATTAATTCGGCAACTGGAAGCCAATGCAGCTAAGCGAGCACTGGACGGACACGTTCAGATCTTGCAATATCCATCACGACACGTGCCAAATAAATGTTGTACACGCTGTATGGTTCGTGTTGATGCGATGACAACATGGGAATAGATCCTGGCTGTGTACCTGTGCACATTTCCTCTTCCACACCGGTGCTGTTCAGGTCTCCACTGACAGTTGTGACTTTTGCTCGATACAGCCTACCCGCAGTGAGGTCCGTGAAGGTTTGTTTCGTTGTGGAATTTTGGAGAATGTCCGTCTGGACAACAGAGCCACTCTGTCCGTCCACGAGATCAACTGCATATGAATCCACATCTCCGATGGCCAGTTGGAAGCTCAGGTAGAGGCTGTTTGTGGAGCCATTATTGTCCAATATTACATTTGAAACAGGAGCAGGACCTGCAAAACACGAACGAGTGCAACGTATGGAGACGGTATGTTACAAGACAACGTTTATACATTGAAAACGCATGTATTTGTTTGGTGTGCACGTGTGTTGTTTAGTTTTGCATACATGTAACTAATATGCAAATTTTAACCGGTTTAAACCAGTTTTTATGGGTTAACCTGACCCTCCCTTTCCAAGTTGGACTCCCCTGATTTTCAATATGCGAGACACATCGTGAAGGCTCTAACCCCTCCAATTAGACCGTCTTTCCAGAGGTGTGACCGGCATCTGGCGGCGATAGCTGTCGAATCTTGCCGCTGTGCCTGTCCTTCACAGGTCACCGCTGTCACACTGGGAAGGGTGTCTTGGGTATGTTAACTTTTTTTCCCTCCCCATTGGAAGGGAAGGGGTGGGAAAAGAAACGCCTGTGGATTCAGGCGTCTCCAGGAGCAGCCCAGAACAGAGTACGTCTGTCAATTCTTCTCCGCTGATCCCCCAAAACGAACGCGCCGTTGTTAAAACACACACTTTAAATAATGTATCGACCATGGGAAAGCCAATCACGAGATTCCCAGAAAAAAATCCCATGTACTGTGTTAACTGGAAAGGAGATGGTTCATGAAAAATTAATTAGAGGGTTTTTTTGGGTTAGATCGTGTAAATATAAATATGTCGTGAAACCCGCCACCACCCGACACAGCCATTTATTAAGGTTCGTCACGTAAACAAAACATGCCAATCCATTCCTAGTTCAGCACACCAGTGTGTTTAAGATTAAACCCACAAAATGTACAATTTGATGAAAAATCAACTTTGCAAATTTTTTATTCCATTCTTCTGCCACTCCCCTCCTCCTCCATATGAAAAGCTTGTCACAAAAACAAATGTTCATTTTTATAGACCAAAGCAAGATAAAAAATATTACCACTCAATGTAAAGAAGTTTGCCACGAGGTTAGTTTACAACAGAGTTGAAACAAACCGACACACGCCTTCACGTTAGCATGGTTGGCTATGTACGGTGTGAAAGAAGTTTAACATACATTACTAAGCTATTTTTTTTATTTCACCAGGTAAGGCCCACTGAGCTACATTATATAGCGTTTTTTCAGAAGCGATTTGGCCACAAATGATAGCTCAACGAAGTGGCTTATCATGTGGAAATGTATAGCAGCTAAAATACTTTAAAGTATACATCAGGCGTTAGGGTCGGGATCGAAACCACGACCTCCTGCATACCAGGCGAGGTAGTTAACATCTCGCCACCATGGCACCCCATGTACATACATACGCCATGCTAAAACTAGGCATCCCTTTTGCACAACTGTAACATCTTACTTGTCTGCGTATTGTTGTTCCACCTGACGCTTGTTTGCTGCCAGATGATGACCGTGTAGCCGGCTCCGGGGATGAGGTTGGTCAAGTTCGCTAGGTGTTGTTGGAGATTACTCAGCGTGACGCAAGTGCTCGATACAGTTCCCCCACGGGAGCCACTCGCTGCACCAGAAGAGTTGGTGGCGTAGGTGACATTGTAGACGCTCTCATTACACGCGGCTTCGTTGCTCCACGTCAATTCCACGGTCGTTTCACTCACATTAACATGAACATCCAGGGGGGGCTCAGGTGTGGTGGTGGCGGTGGTGGGGATGACTGTTGGGTTAGTAGAAGTCTGTCCGAACCCGCCCTGTATGGAAACGATCAAAAGCAAAATTAAATATTTAGCAAAAGATATCATCACAAGCACGGTCTTAGGCACATCGCAGATGTACAGCGTGGTTCAAGATGTCTCGAGACTCCAAAATCAATTGACCCCTAAAATGTTTGTCTCCCTTTGTATATTCATTTATGTTTTAAATAAACCTTACTTATAAAAAATAATTTGGAGAATTAAATTGGGGTCACACGACATCTGGACCAAACCGCGTACTGTGTGGTCCATATGGGTGGTGGCACCAATGTCCTTTCCACAGTGTACATCCAACAATTGCACGTAAAAACATTTCTCAATAATAGTGGCAAGACGAGGTCACCGGCAATGTCAATAACACCATTAATCATATGATGAATGCCATCAGCGTTGAATTTTTTTGTTTGCTTGGTTCATCACATTTTTCTAAGCACAACCCATCTGTGAAACTCGCGAGCCCCTGGCCGCCTCCTTTTCCCTGCCATTTCTCTGAAGTTCGGCCCGGCCCAGATCTCTCGTGTGGCCAAACCACCGGCCGAGATTCCGTGAAGCGTGCAAGATATGGGGGGGGGGGGGGAGGACTGGACTTTGATAGAGTCACAAAGGGGCTCAGGAAAGCCCAGTATTGAAACTACTTAAATGGTTGACGGATGTCCATGGGTGTCGTGGGTGTTGATGGCGAGCGCCGGTTGGGTCGGATCTCCCGGCCGTGGCAGTTGAAGCAATGGGGGGCACGCGTGGCTTAAGTCTCTGTCCACCCAGCGAGTACGCAGTCCACACTGTAACGGAGTTACGTTGCAGTTCGTCGATCGGGAGAGTTCCGTGTGGTGGAGTGAAGTGTTAGTCCAGTGATGCTCTCCAATGATACGGGGGCGCCCCCGCGGTGGCGAGATGTTAACTCCCTCGCCTGGTGTACAGGTGGTCGTGGCTTCGATCCCGACCCTGGCGCCTGCTGTATATTTGGAGTTTGCGGTGTCTCTCTCTCCCCACCCCGTGGTCGCGTGGATTTTTCTCCGGCTCCTCCGGTTTATTCCCTCCACATTTAGAATCAACATCACCGCGCGTTTAAGAGTATTTGGGGGCTATAATAGAGGTTTTTGGGTTAGATCGCGTAAATATATAAACGTGTCGTTAAAACCCGCCACCACCCGACACAACCAACTAGTAAGGGTTGTCACGTAAACAGAACGTGGCCAATTCGTCACTGGTACAGCACGAGTGTATAGTGTAGTGTATTGTGTAGTGTATAGTAGTGTAATGTATAGTAGTGTAGTGTATAGTAGTGTAATGTATAGTAGTGTAGTGTATAGTAGTGTAATGTATAGTAGTGTAGTGTATAGTGTAGTGTATGGTATAGTGTATAGTAGTGTATAGTGTAGTGTATAGTAGTGTATAGTGTAATGTATAATAGTGTAGTGTATAGTAGTGTATAGTGTAGTGTATGGTATAGTAGTGTAATGTATAGTAGTATAGTGTATAGTAGTGTAATGTATAGTAGTGTAGTGTATAGTAGTGTAATGTATAGTATAGTAGTGTATAGTGTAGTGTTTAATAGTGTAGTGTATAGTAGTGTATGGTATAGTGGTGTAGTGTATGGTATAGTGTAGTGTATAGTAGTGTAGTGTATAGTAGTGTAGTGTATAGTGTAGTGTATAGTAGTGTAGTGTATGGTATAGTGTAGTGTATAGTAGTGTAATGTATAGTATAGTAGTGTATAGTGTAGTGTATAATAGTGTAGTGTATAGTAGTGTATGGTATAGTAGTGTAGTGTATGGTATAGTGTAGTGTATAGTAGTGTAGTGTATAGTCTAGTATACTAGTACAGCGCACCGGTGTGTTGGAGAGCCAAGCCACAACATTTACAAACTGAGTACGACGTTTCGCCAGTAATTACTACTAGTTACTGGCGAAACGTTCTGTTCAAGTTGGCTGTGTCGGGTGGTGGCGGGTTTTAACGACACATTTATATATTTACGCCATCTAACCCAAAAACCTCTATTATGGATGATATTGGTCGCGAAGGCCTACGTGTTAAACTATTTGGGGGCTGCGATACATTTCCACACGATAATACACTTTGTTGAGCTATCATTTGTGGCCAGATCGCTTCTAAATAAAGAGCTACTGTATATAGCTCAGTGGGCCTTAACTGGCAAAATAAAAAAGTTTTTTTTTATTTCTGTCAAGACATCTTGCCCGGTGTGGAATAGTGTCGTTGTCTCTAGACCAGAGGTCGCAAACGGGTTTTGATTCCTTACCCGTACCCAGCTGCACCAGGGTCGCAAACGGGTACCCGTACCCGGCCGTACCCGTACCCGTACCCGGCCGGGTACGGGTAGGGTACGGGTATCGGGTACCTGATTGCGACCTCTGGGATGAAGCCATGTTGCAGGCGCGGGTGGATTGATTCTAGGAACTTGAATTGTGAGAAGAGACAAGACGTTGGGAAATGACAAACAGTTACTCACCAGTGACTCACGGCCTACCCGTACCCATACCCGGCCGCACCAGGGTCGCAAACGGGTACCCGTACTCGGCCGGGTACGGGTAGCCGGGTATCGGGTAGGGTACGGATATCGGGTACCCAGTTGCGACCTCTGCTCCAGAGCTCCTTCGAGTGGAGGCCCTTCTGCTAGCAGCGGCTTGAGAAAGTAATTGTTGCGTGATGTCGACAAACGGTGAATCCAACCGATCGGGTTTCGAGTTAATTTTGTCTAAGCAGGTGAGAATTCAAGCAATCAAATGCCCCGAACTGAACGTGTGAATCAATCGTGGACACATATTCTTGGGTTTTTTCGGTAAAGTCACGTAGGTAAAAAATTTAAATTAATAAAAGTAAAATTTAAATAAAATAAAAAATCACGACGTTTCGGAGGTTCCACCTGAAGACGGAAGCTTGTGTTGCCTCCGAAACGTCGTGATTTTTATTTTATTTTTATTTTACTTTTATTAATTTTTATTTTTTACCTATGTGACTTTACCGAAAAAACCCAAGAATATGAATCCTTGCAGTCACGAAAGCTTCAAATCTAGAATCGTGGACACCGCACTGCCTCCACATTTTAATTAGAGAGGCAGCAGCGCAGAGGTCCGGAGTAGACACCAGAATGCAAATACTGTTTTGTTTTGAACAGTGACCAGGAAATGAGCGTCAATGTGTAAACAGTGTCGACGGGGCTTCTTTCCTAAGAACCATTCTGTAACGATGAACTCAAATGCGCAAACGGGGCTCGAATGTAAAAAAAAACCCAACAGCCTTGAGCCAGTGATGGAAGTTCCTCATTTCTGTGGCAGAGTTGAGTCTGGCTGTATATATGTATGTACAGCGTGGTCCACGTGTCTTGCGACCCGACAATTCATTGACCGCTTTAAACTATTGTCATTGTAGTGCGTATTTAATGTGGCGCTGCACTCTGATGTTGTAAGAGTGTTGTTATAACAATTAGTGTTGTTATAACAACTCTATATTTATTTAAAGTTGCGCATTTTGATGTGACGTCACATTTCTCAAACCCCTCGTCACACATCGTCACAAAAATCTGACCCCCCCCCCCAGGTGCGTGACGTCATTTATGGACAGCCCCTTATATCGAGTTTAGTGAGACATTGGTTTAGGAGTGAGAGTTTCATGATTTGAAAATAACATTTCAGACAACTTTAAGATTATTATTACCACCTTTTTTAAACCGATGACAGCCTGAGTCTCAAGTCTCAAGACTTTTTCAGGAGGGTCCTGCCAAGTTTTTAGAATAGGATGCAAAGTTACTGATGTGTGTCATTCTATCTAAGTTATTTGCAACATTGGGATGATTGGCTAATACCAGTTACACTGTATGCGGTTATTTTTTGCGATGATTGGAAAATGGAGAACCCGGACGAAACCCATTCAGAGCAGTGGCAGTAAATACACACTCCACTCAGTCATCTTCTTGGTTTGGACCACTCATTGATATGCAAATGTTTTCCCTAACCCCCTCCCTCTCTCTGCCTCCTCCCCCCTCTGTCTATTTAAGGCCACCCCACAGAGATGATCACCCCTCTCTGGTTCCTGTGTTGCTCCCTCTATGTATCTTGGTGATATCTGTCTGCTAATATGTCTGTCTATAGTTTTCTGGTTAGATTTTATGTCGCTATTTCATTATACCTGATGATGATTGCTTGTGTTGCAATCGAAACGTCGTATGCTATTATTTAATTTAATTTATTATTTTATCTTTAGACGTGACTTAACCGAAAGAACCAAATAATCTTCTTGGTTCTTTCGGTAAAGTCACGTAGAAGGGAAATAATAAAATAATACAAATAAAACATTATAAAATAATTCTCACGACGTTTCGGCCACAACGCAAGCAGCCGTCTTCCCGACAGACCTCTTCTTCACCTGAGGACGGCTACTTGCGTTGTGGCCGAAACGTCCTGAGAATTTTATCTTAGAATGTTTTATTTTTATTATTTTATTATTTCCCTTCTACGTGACTTTACCGAAAGAACCAAGAAGATGAATCCCTGCAGTCACGAAAGCTTTAAATCGAAATTTAAATCCACTCAGGCACTCACATCAGGAGTCGAACCCAGGGCCATCTTGCTGAGCCACCTTTACGCCTAAAGTTGTGGGTAATCATTCATCTAACCAGGAAGTGTTTTTTCATTACTTGAGCACACTGTCAATCAATTAGGTCTGCAATTAAGATTAAACAATGTATTAATCTTTCTTGATAACGATGCTTGTGAAATGTCGTGTGTCCTGGGTTCTAGGATAAAACGACTCTTTCACCCGGGCTGGGACGGTTGGTGATGATGCAGCGACGTGCTTATGCACAACCATTGACGTATTCCATAAATAAGACATCTTCTTTTCTGACTTTCTAAAACAGATCAATCACCTTCACAATTACAACCCTGTATGCATTTCAATGTTGTGACGTCGCCTTATTCATAGAACTGCCAAATAATTGTGCAGTCAGTTTCGTGTACATGTGTCACACCACTGTCCGACG